GAGAATTTTGTTGAATGAAAATTAACTCTGGGGAGTTTTTCCCCGTGGAGCATGAGTGCTTATGGTTTAGCTATCGGTGGATTATCTAGGGAAAGATCCTTGTTTGAGTTTTCCTGTTAAAGATTCCAAAAGAGTTTGGCTAGACTCTTATCAATCAAATGAGCACACTTGATTGTGACGAGTATCTCTCTCCACGTATCTCTTTAATATGTTCGTTTGAAGGTCAATTCGAGCTATCCGAGCTTGAGTCATTGTTGCGCGACATTTGACAAAAGAACCTAAACTTTCATGAGATCGTGATCTTATCATCTTGAAAGCAGTAAAAAAATTGACACAATCCTACAGCATTGGGTATGTCGACGCTCGAAACGAGCCATGTTACAAGTTGCGCATTGGCTGCAACCCAATTCTCACGATCCTTCATCGTCGCATCAGTAGTAGGAGGCTTAACCTCTCCCAACAAGACACCAAGGAAACACTTTCCAACAAAAAAAGTTTCTGAATTGAAATTCCCAAAGCGGGAAGTTCTCATCGTCGAACTTTATTGCAACTGAATCCAATTTCGAGGAATCCATATTGCAAGCGTTGATGGACACGAACGAACCAAAAGCCAAAAGAATCCTCCTAAGCAACGCCTCAACAAATCTTCACAGGAACCCAAAACCCCATGCAGCGAGCCGAAGACGCGTTGCCAACGAGCAACAATAAGCTGTGAAGTTGAATAAACAAACGAGATGCTGCAGCATAAACAAACGGATCAAAAAACGAGCTCCGATACCATGTCAATTCAGCATACCAAACATAAAGAACACGACGAGTCAAGATTTCCACAGGAGAGAGATAGCACTCTCCAAACCAACTCTTGTCTGTGTTGCTTCTACCGTTTACAGATGATACATATTCATTGGTTCGGTAGGACAAACCCTAAATACAATTCTAGTGGTATATTACAGGTTGGTACTCGTAGTTTACAATTTAACAAGTATAGGGCCTTTAATCTACATCTACATCTACACAATATTTTATGCACTTCACTCTATGTCATTGTTGCCACCTTGCACTTTGATTGGTTCTCCTTATTTGGTGGAAGGGCAACTTTGACAATTTTTCAAACACTCAAGGGTCACTCATTATTATTGGACTTTTGATTTTCTTTTTAGTAAATGCGATTAGGATTAAGGGAAAAGAATATTTATTTTAAGGTAAATGCTACATAATAATTATTTGAATTTTGCTATGTGTAGATTTCTTTTGTGTGGTTAAGGAAAAAATAGAGGTTATCTAAAGTTGTTTAACTCTTAAATGAGATAATGCTTGCGAATTGGATTTTGAGATGATAAAGATGATATATCGTTGTGGCGTGGATGTTTGGGAAGAGGTTCCTTCTCAATAGGTTTTTTCGCATTAGTTTTTATGTTAAACAGATAAATCAAGCATCAACCTTCAAAAGTTTTAGAATCGTAATTTCACAGTGATTTCAGCAAACATGAAGAGGAAGAAAGACGGGAAATCTTGGCAAAATACAATCAATTTATATTGTTTTAAATTATTTTAATTTTCAAATTAGCATGTCTAATTTTACATTAAATTCTGAAAGGTAAGATCGCATGTTTAGTCGTTGGTTAAACAATAATTCGATCCATATCGTATTGACTCGATATTTGTGCTGAATTAGATCAAACAAAAAAAAATCAATTTTTTTACTCCATGTAATTGCTTAAAGTCGAGATAGGTTTTATTAGAAAATTATTAAACGTAAAATATGGTCCAATAGAATAAGTTAAATGCTTCTTCAACCTAACTACGTTGTTATTTACATCTGAATAGTTCCAATAACGATTAAAAAATAGTTGTATAATGATAAACTATTAATCATGAGTCATTGAAATTTTCCATCCGACAACCGCTCCGCTTTTGAAAATATAGGAAATAGTCAATAAATTATTTAAAAATATGAGCATATTGTTAAAGGTTAAGTTTGAATTATGATAACTAAAGTTCAAATGATTTAATAACTTAAAAAGGCCATTTCAAGTCAAAATATTCTTTTGCTAATATTTTTCATTTTTGTCTCTTTCAAAAATATAAATTTAGTATATCTATACTAATATTTTTTTATTTGCTTTACATAATTGTCCAAATAATCTATTTCCATATCACATTTTTTTCTGCTCGAATTTTTTATCTTTAAACTATTTAAATGTAATACATCTATAGTAATATTATGTACATTATTTTCTTTTTAATTCAATAGATGACCATCAACAATATTTAAATTAAAATAGTAATCAAATTTTCAAAGTTTCATTTGCAAGGTAATTATTCACATATAACGAAGATAAAAAATTTGTTGAATTTTTTTTTTATTCAGTGATGTTTAATGTCTCAAGGCATGAATATAGATTCCAGATATCTTTTCATTTCATTCGTTGTCTAACTTAAACTTCTTATGGTTATGTATAAAATGAAATGCTGATTCAATAAAATTATAAAGTTGACGGGCACTAAAAAACATAAACTATCTAAGTACTCTTTTGTATCATTAGTGCACAATACTAAAATCGAACCACCTACGTTTAACTAAAAAAAAAAAAAACCCAAATGACCACAAACCGGCCAACGGGCCGGATAAAACACTAGTAGCTATATATATATATATATATAATCCTTTATTTTAATCAAACGATTCTACCTTTGCTCCATCTGTTCTTCGTATTTCTTTCCACGTATGAAGTTTACGCCCAACAAAATTTAATTCATCATAATTAGAAGACGATGATACATCACAAGACCGCCAAAAGTTACAAGCCACACAAATTGAGTAACAAACAAACACGCATTGCCTCTGTCTGCCTCCCTTGATAGTTGGTACTGAGTTTCGTTAGCGCGCCGCGGGGGAACAGTGGCCCCCACCCCCCGTACCGTTCCTTTTCGTAACCCCTGTTTCCCCGTTTGGCCTGGCTTTCTTCTCCAATTTATAAGCACAGACGCTGGGCTTTCCCGTTCCGTCGCTCTAATTCATTCAGCAACAGCCTCTTCTCCATTGCCATTTCCCCTTTTCTTCTTCTTCTTCTACTTTCCTTCCTTCATCTGCTCGTAGTTCGTCTCCCTCTGTTAAACCTCAACACGGTTTCTCCTTCTCTTCCGTTTTTTTTGTCTCCGTCATCGCTCTTTCGATCGGGGAATCAACTACCGTTTCCTTCAACAGGAGTACGAGCTCTCGCTTTTCTGAAGAATCTTCAGTCAGAATCCAGAGGTAAGATTGTGGGTGGCGTAGTTGTTTGTAGTCTGTAGAGATAAATCATATTTTTGTTGTATCTGTACCACTCGTCTATCGTCATCAATTATCCTATATTTTTTTTCCTGTGGTGTTGTGCTTTTCTCATGGATTAAGGCTCTGCAATCGATCTGCTGTTGTACGTCTTTCTGTCTGTAAGCTCATGAAGTTGAGTTCTGTGGCGCAAATTTTTTGTAGGATAGGAATGGCTCATTTGCACAACAATGATCTCGCGTACGTTGTCGATGAGTATTACGACTCCGAATTCGAAGAGGAGCCGCAGCTTCAGAAGAGGGACGAGCCGGAGTCGCTGGACTCGGACTTTGAAGACGATTTTGAGTTTGTATGCTCTAGCGCAGAGACTTCAATTCTTCTTTGTGTTTTGTTCATTTTTGTTGTTGTTGTTGTTGTTTTGCTACGATGGATGTCCTGATGGCGGGAATTCGAATGGCTGCGCCTTGTTTTTTGTTGTGCAGAACAACTCGACGACTGACACAACTGCTGTGGAGTTACAGAGTGGGAAGGATATACAAGGAATTCCATGGGAGAGGCTCAATTACACTAGGGACAAGTACAGGGAGACGAGATTGAAGCAGTACAAGAACTACGAGAACCTCTCTTACTCTCACGAGCATATCAACAAGGTTGGCCAACTGAAACCTTGAGATTTTCTGCCTAATCTGCTGCACTTTTGTATCATTCTGCAGATCTAGTTCTTCTTGATATAGAACTGTATCTTGCTAATCAATTCATTTATCTTGAAAGAAACTATATTGCAGTTTTGTTTACTATATGCAAATCCTTTGAGCCGTCGTGTTTTGCTTTTGTGAATCGATGTTCCTTTATGCTAGTTTGAACGGCTACCGTTCCTCGCTGTTATTACTTGCTTCAACAACCGGTCAGTAATGATTAAGAACAAATCTTATGCTTGTGATTACAGGAATGCCTTCAAGTAACGAAAGGAAAGGCATTTTATGACTTCCAGCTGAACACGAGACACGTCAAATCGACGATTGTGCATTTTCAGGTAGAGGCTTTTATCACCCTTTTTTCGCCATCTTAGTAGTTTGGCATAGGGTGGTGATGACGACTAATTTTGTGGAACTCGGATCCATGTGACAATCATTTTGTTTATTCGATCTTCAGGTTTTCCTTGCCTTCATTTTGTGATTTTTTTTTATTTAAACTTAAATTGTTTACTCATAGTTAATAGTTTGTTCCTTGGTTTTGAGCATTTTGGTACACTTTTAGCATTCGTTGAGTTAATAATCCTCAGATCAGGATCTTAGGAATGGCTCTAGGGTGCCGTTATACGGTGTTTTGGGACTTGGCAATTCAGTTATTGCATCTTTGCAGTTGCATTCAATTGGCTATGCGCATGTCATTTTTCTCAAGATTTTGCAGGTCATGTGACTATACATCCGACTCTCGATACCCTTATATTTTTAATGTAGCATGCCTGAACATGTTGGAGGTATGACTTAGTCTCAAAGTAACCCCTGTTATGTTAGGCTTTACTTCCTTAATTTGTTGGATGCACCGAATGAATCGCTGACCAAAATAGTATGACCACCATTTACATTGTACTTACTGGCTTCAAACCATCATGCTCTTATAAAGCTTTTGAATCTCTGTTACTGAGAATGCATCCTCATGGAGAAAATAATTCGTTTATTTGGCAACCGGAGGATTTACATTCAATCCTAATCAACTGACTCTTTTGATTCTTTTATTCTTTCGTGTTATTATCATCTTTGCTCTATTTCTTTTTGCTTTAGACGAATAGAAAAACCAGAGTATGTCTTTTCACAGGTCAAAGCAAAATTTGATCCCTTTCAATTCCATTTTCGAAGTTGCGATCGGATCTATTCATTAACAATAATTGATTCAATACGGTCTCTTAACACCTTTTTTCTTCGCATCGGAGTCCATGATCCCCAACTAATAATGTTGACAATCTTTGTGCTGGAGTAACTCTTCTTTCAATCTAATATGTTTGCTCTCTGCCTCTACAATCTGAGTTGTATTTACTATCATTTAGAAGCACATACTTTTGGTCTTCTTCCTTGATTCCGCATTTATATGCATTTCAATTTTATTCCTGCATAATACTATTAACCATTGCATATTGAATCTATCTGTGGTTTAACCCAACTGTGGCATTTAGGACTTCATCTCTCTATTTCAGCATTATAAGCAGGCTGGAAGTAATATTTGAGCAGCTGCCGGGATTAAGGATACGATATTTCTATGGTATGATAGGATAATATTTGACAACTCAAGGAGACCTCCAAATCATTCCTTTTTTTTTACTTGTTTAAAGTTCGGATCTAGTTTTCTCTATTAGTCTTGCACTCTGCACTTTGCTAAAAGACCTAAAATAGAATCCTAATCTTGAATGGTGTCTTCTCTTTGCAACTAGATGCATTCATATATCCGTTGCTGATTGTTGGCCCAAGGTTGAACCTAGAGTGTGGTTAATGTTATCATCCTCGTGATATCACTAAACCAACCCCTTGAGGTTTCCATGTATCCATTTCTATGGCAGTAAGAAGCTTTTTTTCATTTTTCTTCCTGGGGGAAATCTGTGCGATTCTATTTAATCTTATTAAGGGCTACTGTTCTTAAGTTGGTATTGACACTGTGTTTTGGGTTGGGGCAAACTAGTTGTGGATCTGTTATTTCTGGTGCTAAATGCTGTCACTGACGTTTTGGCAATTGTGTTTTTCTATGGTGATGTCCAGCTGAGGAATCTGTTGTGGGCTACATCGAAGCACGATGTCTACCTAGTGGGAGACTATTCCGTGATGCATTGGTCTGCCTTGTTAAGAAAAGGGAAAGAAGTCCTTAATGTGGCCAAACCAGTAGTTCCGACCTTGGTACGATTTAATGAGAGCAGTTTGTATTAATTCGATTATCTTAAATGTTCAATCCTAAAGAAGGTTTAATTTAACTGCCAATGGTTTTATATGCAGAAACGTCCAGGGTTGTTGACACAATCACTTTCCCGGGTGCAAATCAGCTCTATGGCTGTGAGAGACAACATATTGGTGGCCGGTGGGTTTCAAGGAGAGCTTATATTCAAGGTTTGGTCATTGATCCATAGCTGTGTTTTTCTGATGTTTTGTTGTGCCCACTGACCTGATGTTTGCCTAATTGGGTGTGTTCTTATTGTCCAGTATCTGGATCATCCTGGAGCTGCATTCTGCACCAAGCTGACATCAAATGAAAATGCCATCACCAATGCGGTGGATATCTACACCTGCCCCAGGTGAAGACTTTTCTATGTGCATCTGACATTCGCAAAAGTTCCCATTTTTTCCATTTGGGTGAAATCTGAATTCCTTATGCCTTCTCTTCCACCTGCATGCAGCGGCTCGACGAGGATTATGGCAGCAAATAATGATGCAAAGATTAGAGTTCTCGATGCCATGAGTTTTGCCTGCACAAATCAGTTCTCGTTTGATTGGTCCGTAAATGTGAGTCTCCTCTCCTCCCCCGCCTTCAGAAATGCACGCAGTCTCTCATTTTAACAGAGAGTAGTTTCTGACTTGAATGGTTTCTTCTGACAGAGCACCTCGGTTAGCCCCGACGGGAAGCTGGTAGCAGTCCTCGGCGACAGCGTAGACTGCTTGCTTGCCGATTCGCAGTCTGGGAAGGTAGCTGCTACCCTCAAAGGACACTTGGACTACTCTTTCTCCGCGACATGGCATCCTGACGGTCGAATTTTGGCCACGGGAAACCAAGACACCTCCTGCAGGCTATGGGATATCAGGAACCCATCCACATCTCTGGTTGTGCTGAAAGGCAACATGGGGGCCATTAGGGGGCTAAAGTTCACGTCTGATGGGCGGTTTCTGGCAATGCAAGAGCCTGCGGATTTCGTCCACGTGTTCGACGTGGGATCTGGGTATGTGAAGTGCCAGGAGATTGATCTGTTCGGGGAGATCGCCGGGATCTCGTTCAGCCCCGATTCGGAGTCTCTGTTTGTTGGTATAGCAGATCGTACGTACGGAAGCCTGTTGGAGTTCAGGAGAAGACATTATGACTACTGCTTGGATTCCTCCTTTGATTAGGGTTCTAATGTTTGTGTCTAGATGGTTTTTACTACAATGTATATAGAAAATCCAGGTAGAGTCGTGTTTTTTTTAATATTATTTTTATCGTTTTTTGAACAGTACTTGGGTTGCACAAGTTGTTGTCGTTTGGCTCTGTTCACGGTTGCAATATTTTGGTATTGTTCTCCAAGTGTATTCATATTTATAGGCTGCTGCTTTATGTGGTGTAATATAATTTTGTTCTCTTCAGCTAGTGATATGTCATTTAATTATAATGTTTTATAGGTGATCGGTTAGCTTGCTAATGTGTTGGAAAAATGACACACCTGAAATATTAAATGCAATTCATAGAATTTAACACTCATACTAAATACACATTGAGAATTAAATATACCATATTAATTATTCTTTAAAAAATAAAATCTACACTAAATACATTCTCTCTTCCTATTTCTGATTCTTCCTTTTCCAGCAGTCTCTGACTACCAAGCTTCCTCCAATCGTCACACTTCTTTGATGAAAATTCCGTCGGCAAACTCCCTACTGCCACCTGCAAAAAATGAACCACTACATTAAAAGATGTATCACTGCACTTAAATTCGAATATGATATATGCACCAGTGCACTGGTACGTTACCAATGCAATTTAACTCGGAGCTGATATCGCTACCAGTGCAGTGGTATTGCTACCAGTGCAGTGATACAAATATAATATATATGCTTAACTACAGTGGTACAAATATCAGTGCAGTGGTACAAAAAATAGATATGAAAAATCGAAAATGAAGATCTGGAAATTTAAAACTCATCGGGAGAGGTGAGTGGGCGAGGAGGGCAGCACAGCTACGAGGGATGGTGGCAGGCTGGCAACGACGTCGGATGATGGTGACGGTAGACGGCGGTGACAGGAGAGAGGAGGGTGGTGACGTGGAGAGGACGGACGGTGCCGGAGGAGGACATCGGCGGGAGGAAAAGATCGGAGAGAGGTGATGGCGGCGACGTGAGAAAGAGTAAGGTGTGGAGGAAGAAGGGCGAACAAAGGTGATGGCGGCGACAGGAGAAAGAGGAAGATGATGAAGAAGAAGACGGTGGCGGCGTGGAGGAAGAGACTGGAGGGATGGTGATGATGGTGATGGTGATGACAAGAGGAAGAAGAATATGAAGAAAAAGGGAGAACTTTCTATTGGGAACGGTTGGGGCTTTTCCCTTTCCCCATATTCATTATTGTGAACTTTTCCAATAAAGTATAGTTATTACAAGCATACCAAAAAAAATTGCTTCATTAATACTTATCCAAAAATGAATGACAGATGGAGAGCTGATGAATGGGGCGTCAAAAATAGTGTTCTAAAGATTCTTTAATGAGAATTCAAGATAAGTAGTATAGTTTTATTTGTCTAGGTCAAATGATATTCATTCGATTCAACAAAATAAAAAAAATTATATAATTACTATAGAAAAAAATTGAGAAAAATCATAGAGTTATCTGACATCTAAATCAATTATTGATTGCAAATGAAAAATTAAATCCAAGGGATCAATTTCTAAAAAACTTGATCACCAAAACTTGAACTTACTTCTTGCTGTACAAAGTTGCAAAAAATTACATTTTCGAGTTCTTTGTCATTGCTACACCAATACTAGCCTCATAATCTTCACTGATAACAATATTAGTATTTCCATAGCCGACTTCATTATCTCCCGTATCAACAGTCTTTTCTTTCTCTCAATGGCCTCATTATTTCCCTCACCGACTCCACTAATTCTGCCATAAATGGTAACACCTAAATATGCCATTTTTTATATCCACATTCTTAGTTTTTTCTCTCCGAGTAATGACAAGGGAGTGAGAAAAAAAAACTTAGTACAACCTACCCAGACACCCTTTCAAAGAAACAACTCACTGAAACCACCCTACAAAGTCAATGGAAACTAACTCTAGAGGAGATAGCGACAGGGCTTCTAGCGCCATTCTATGGGCAGCCCTGTTTGCAGTTCTAGAAACCACACTAAACTCTATACAAACAGAAATCGAGGTGAGGAGTCGATGACAATCTTGAAGAACATGCCCTCCTAGCGAATCCACCGAAACTCCTTGATGAAGGGCTGAATGACTACTTTAGAATCTTCTTCTATGATGTCTTGAGATAGGGACTGGGAGACAAAGAGCGAGATGACATCTACGGCTGCAAGGAGTTCAACTAGGTAGGGATCAACAATTCCAGAGTGTTGGGGCCCAATTGCCAACATGACATACGTGTCTTCCCTTCGGATCACTAGGCTAGGCGAACAACGAGAGGCACTAATAGCACCATCAAAATTGATCTTCAGGCAATCACTAAGAGGATGTTCCCAAAGGACGGGGAGAGGCGATGGTAGGTGAGGGCGCGAAGGCATAAGGGTATGGAGAAAAAATGATAATTCAAAAACTTGGAAAGCACACTGACGAGCAAGAGTACGGGCATGGGGTTGATAATGTTCAAAGAACACCTTATTACTAGATTTCTAGATTCTCCACAAAATGCAAACGCATTGGAGAATATGAGTTTGGGGGTGCTCAGAAAGCATTGCATGTCACCACTAGAGGCTGAAATTCACAATCGCGACTGAGTCATTGAAATCATTTAAACCCATATGAGAGCACAACTGGGTAACAAGTGCTCAATAATTTCTCAATGCCTCTAACAGACGGGACACCTTGTAAGACAATCGACTCTCAAGGGCTACCGCTGTAGGTAGAATCACTTTTAGGCATTGCCAGATGAAAAATTTTAGCTTAGGAGGGATTTGGATATCCCAAGTTTTTTTCCAGATCGGGGGGGGGGGGGGGGGGGGGGGGAGGGGGTCAATAATGTGAGCTAGTGACTTGCGATTAGAGACTAAGGAGATTTCCAGATGTAATTGTGTACATACCATATTTTGTACAGTGCCACCCTTCTGTTCGAATCGTGTAAGGTATCCCCATTATTAGTTGTTATCATGATTATTTAACCATTATTGTGTCCATAACTGATTCATTTTAGGCTAGGGTGCTTTGTTCACTATATTTTCAGAATCTACCAAGAAATGGAAATGATTTGGGCATGATTCAAGCCTTGGGAAGGAAGTGCAGAAGCAAAATGAGAAAATTTTAGAAGATTGCGACCAAACCTTGAAGATCATGACCAACCAGTATGAAGATCACGTTAGTGAATCGCCTCTTTTTGGCTATGATCTCTAGTGACAAGAAACACAGAGGATCATTGTCAAAACAAGGTATATTATGGGTAGCCCAATTGGTAGTCATCTCAGGTAAAAACCGTGAATTTGAGATCATGCCCGTGATCTCTGGTCCCATGGTTGTCAAAATCATGCGCAATGACTAATGAAAGTGACATAATTTTGGAGATCACAGACAGTCAGACAATCTTCTGAGATCACGCCCGTGATCTCCAACCAGTGAACTTCTCTCTTCACATTGTTTATGTAAGGGAGAGTGGGCATTTTGCACAGGGGAGGTTGATTTCTGATTTTTCATGTATTGAAACTCCAGAACAAAAGCACGTGTAGAAAGGAAGCATAAACACATACTCAATGTGGCTAGAGCTCTTAGATTTAAATCAGGGCTTCCTCTACAGTTTTGGAGTGACTGCATTCTCCATGCACTTCACCTCATTAATTAATTGCCATCCACAGTCACTGATAATCTTTCAACCTTTGAACTGATGTACAAAAAACCTCCTGATTTAGCTCATTTGAAAGTTTTTGGCAGTCTATGATATGCTTCTACCTTGCTCAGAGATAGGACCAAAATTCACCCCTAGAGCTAGGCAGTGTGTTTTCCTTGGTTTCCCTTCAGAAATCAAAGGATATAAGCTTTTTGACCTCAACACACACCAATTCTTTGTATCCAGACATGTAATCTTCTATGAGCACATACTGCCTTTTCAATCACCTTCTCACATTCTACCTAAATCTCCACCTTCTATTCCTAGTCTTGTTGAAGTTGTTGTCCCCCAGTCTCCAACCCTATTTCCTTCATCGTCATCATCTCATCCACCACAGAATGTGGATCCATCCATCTTTACTTCACCACACTCATTTTATCCTTATACCTCTTCTTCTTCAACACCTACTTCCACTTCTCTTCCTAGTCCCAACGCACTGCCTGAGCCACTTCATGATTTCTTTGAGGCTCCTAGACCACATTCTGAGGGGCAGTCTGATGAGTTAGTTGAGCAAGCTAATGAAGGACCTGAGCTAGTGTTAAGAAGGTCTGACAGATCAAGGATCATTCCTGTTTGGCACAAGGATTATAAAGATGGAGCTGTACAGAGGTATGCTATGAAAAATTATGTCTCATATGACAACTTGCCACCTGCACATAAAACCTATGTATTGAGTGTGATGACAACTATGGAACCTAGAACTTATGAAGAAGCCTGTGGAGCTTTGTTGGAGAGAAGCTATGAAAGAAGAAAGGGATGCACTGGAAGATAACCAAACTTGGGAATTAGCTTTCCTTCCTCCATGTAAAAAGGCAATAGGCTGCAAATGGGTGTACAAAATCAGTTAAAGTCTTACTAAGATTTATGGCATAGACTTTCTGAATACTTTCTCCCCAGTGGCAAAGATAAATTCAGTTAAAGTCTTACTGGCAGTTATAGCTGCCACTGACTGGCATATACATCAAATGGATGTATCAAATGCATTTCTCCATAGAGAATTGCATGAAGAAGTATACATGAATCCTCCTCCAGGCATGGAACTGCCAAATAGAAGAATGGTTCTCTAGTTAAAGAACTCACTGTATGGCTTAAAATAAGCCAGTAGACAGTAGTTTGCTAAACTAGAAGGTTCTTTACTGAAAAATGGGTTCTCTCAAGCAGCTTATGACTATTCTATGTTTGTCAAAGGAACACAAGGTTGAGTTCTTGTTGTGTTAGTCTATATGTATGATATATTGATTGCATGGAGTTCCTTAGGGGACATAAAGCAATTGAAGTTGTTTAAGGGATTTCAAAATCAAAGATCTGGGAATTTTAAAGTACTTTCTTGGACTGTAAGTTTATAGAGATCATAAGGGTATACAGGTTAATCAAAGGAAGTATTGTCTGGAGTTGTTAGCAAATACAAGCTATATGGATGCTAAGGATTGTCTAGCACCTATTGATTACAAAGTGAAGTTAGTAGGCAAGCAGGGGGAGCCCTTGGCTAGTCCAGAAGTGTACAAGAGATTGGTTGGAAGGCTACACTATCTTACTGTGACCAGGCCTGATTTAACTTTCTATGTGCAACAATTATGCCAATTTCAGAAAGATCCATATAGTGAACACTTCTCTATAGCCTACAGAATCCAAAGGTACTTGACGCATGCTCCAGGTCAGGGTTTAATGTTCCAAGCAAATTCCAATTTGAAGCTATCTGGTTTCTCAGATTTAGAATGGGTAAGTTGTCCAGATACATCGAGGTCACTAACAGGGTATTGCACATTACTGGGGGGCTTGAATACATGGAAGTCGAAAAAGCAGACCACAATGTCTAAATCGTCATCAGAAGCAGAATATAAAGCTCTTGCTTATTTGGTTTGTGAAATACAGTGGTTAAGGAATCTTTTGGCAGAAATGAATGTTAAGGTTGAACTACTTATTCAGGTATATTGTGACAATCGCTCACCAATGCACATAGCTGAGAATCCAGTCTTCCACGAGAGGACATAACACATTGAAATAGATTGCCACATTACAAGGGAAAGATTTAAGTCACGGATGATAAAATTGAGTCATGTCAAAACAGATGATCAACTAGCAGATATGTTTACAAAAGGAATGACTCGTTACAGGTTGAAGTTCTTGCTTGACAAGTTGGGAGTTGTTGATATGCACTCGCCAACGTGTGGGGGAGTAACAAATGAGATTGATGAAAGCAGCAACAAGGAAGAAGATGTAGAGTTTACAGCTGTTGAGGAAGTCCATAAACAGAGAAAGTGAAACGACAACGTTATGAGAATAGTGACTTAGCCGTTAGTAAGTTAGGACTGAGAGGAAGCCACATGTCGACTATTTTACTATCAATTTTAAATTTACCGTTATTATATTTTTACTGTAGATGAACTTTGGATTTACAGAGTAAGGGAAGAGTAGAGCTAGCAACTCACTCAACGATTCATTTGCTCACCTTAGCGGAGCTATAAAATATGATATAAAGTGATACTATATGGCCAACATGATACTATATTACCAACATAATATAAAGTGATACTATATGGCTCAATTTCTTTTGTTTTAAAATATATCAAAGTGAATGTTATTTTCAAGAGCACGATTAATCTGATTTTTCTGAGGTTCTATCTTAGGGCTAGGGGCACGGAAAATTGATTCAAAAGTTAAAAATACAACTGATTAAAATCAATTAAAAAATTATCTCTATTTATTACTGACCATATTCAGATATATCATATTATATTATAGAAACACATTTGTTCATGATCGTCACGCCAGTGGAATGTCAGCCGGTTAAACTTGGTATAACTGATATCGCTCACGAAACCGACCGGAATAGTCGTTACCTTAACCACAAGGAGGGGGATGTCGAATGCCTGGCTAGTGATTGGTGTGAAGTCTTGACAAAATAGTCGTATTTGGAAGGTTAACACTAAACATATGTGCTTTGATATTTATGATTTTTCATAATTCTATTCGATATAAAACCAAATATATCCCGAACCATACCGCTTGCTACACCGAGTCTAACGGTTTAAACCGATTTGACCACTTGCATGTGCTAACACAAAAGATGTTGCGACTTGGGAGTTGGGACCCCATTTGGGAGAGAGCGTAATAAAGGACCCGCAAACACGGACGCTCCTTTCGTCGCAGCTGCTGGGGCTCCAGCGAGGGGCAGTAGGGTCCCAGCTTCCCGCTCCATTTCCATTCCGTTCCATCCATCTTGAGCCAGCCAACTTCTTCTTCACCCCACTCACTCATGTCCGATTCTCACCCCCCACCATTAAATAGTACGCAGGCGGCAGATAGCATTCTCTTCTCTCATCAGATAGGCTTCTCCATCTTCGTTTTCCTCTCCATCTTCTTCCCTCTCCAACAAGCTTCAATTTCCATCACTTTCTGACTTTGGATTCCTCTACCCTCTTTCCTTCCTCGGGATCATCCCTCGTCGTGGAGCTGATTAAACCCGTTTTTCTTTTTCTTCCTCTTCTCGCTTTTCCTATTTGGTTTCCCGGAAAATCCCTTGGGGGTGTCTGTCTCCATCTGATTATTTGGATTCCGAGCTCGCTCTCTCTGTTTTGAGAGTCAACTTTCTAGTCAAAGGTAAAATTTCCGACTTGGTTGTTGTCTTCCTCAACAATTGGAAGGCTTGTTTATTCTTGTCCGAGTTTTTTTTTTTTTTTTTGTAATCATTTCTGGAATCGCTTTGCCCTGTGAAATTAGGTTCTGTTGCCGTGGTTTCATAAGGAATAATATGGCCGACTTCCACAACGATGATCCCTACTGCGCCCTGGACGAAGAGACGCAGCTTCAAAAGGGCGACGAGTCCGATTCCGACTTTGAAGACGATTATGAGTCGGTATGCTGCTCGAGAGCTATTCGTCTTTGTGTTGTTGTTTGCTTGATGTAATGGCTGAGAATTCGGATTTGTGTTGTTGCTGCAGAGCAAGTCTCAGAACGATACAACTGCTGTGGAGTTTAGGAACGGGAAGGATATGCAAGGAATTCCATGGGAGAGGCTCAGTCACACTAGGGATAATTACCGGGAGACGAGGTTGAAGCAGTACAAGAACTACGAGGACCTCTCTCCCTCTCACGAGATGATTGATAAGGTTAACAATTGGATTTATGGTTATCTGATAATTGGTTTTGGGCTGCCATGGTTCCATTGGCTTGCTGCCAGTAGGATTTAGAATAGTAGTGAGTAGAAAGGCTCTGCTGATTTTGGGGACTGATATTATGATGATATTTGGTTGCAGGAGTGTTTGGCAGTAGATAAAGGAAAGACATTTTATGACTTCCAGTTGAACACGAGGATCGTCAACTCAACCATTGTGCATTTTCAGGTAGAAACTGCTGGCTTCTTTCACTCCCTCGGATTTTTCTGATCATTGATTTTCCAGTTTGCATGGTCAGATTAGGAAGCATATACACACTGTTTTAGATAAGCATAGGGTTATTGTCCTGTTTATCATTCTTCTTTCTTTCTCTCCCTTCATTTCTGGTTCTGGGGGATCATTATTTTCATTGGCAGATTCTGTTTTCATTTAAGTCATGCATAAGTAGTCCTGCATCCCTCAGCTAATAATTTAGGCTTTGGGCATTGTTGTATCCTGTCAGTAATCAGCTGTTGTAGGTTGTTGTACTGCTGTGGCACTCGTATATCATTTCTTGACTATTGCTTTCAATTGGTTTTGGAGATCATTAGTCCCGAGGTTTTGCAGGTCCTCTGATTATAAAAACATATCCTTTCTGGATATATTTATAGTTTGATTGTAGCCTGCCTGAACCTTTTGGAGGTACGACAGAGCTTCACTTTATGTTAGGCTTCAATTCCTTAATATATGTGATGCACCAACTGTTGAAGGGATTCACGTCTGACCAAAGTCTTCCAGACTAAATTCTTTTTTACAGTGGGGCCCCCATGGACAATGCTCTCCAGCCCTGCAAGCTGGTGAACTTAGCATACTCCAAAGTTGTGAAAACCTTACTTCTTAAATGCTCTTTGTTGGTGCAAATAACTTCTGGTGAAACATGGCTGTCACAATCCTATAGTTGTTTCCATTATTCATTTCTTAGTAGTGATTTTGTTAATCCGTAGACTGGTTTACAGTAATTGTTAATGAGACGTAGGTTCTGACCTTCTCGACTTAGACAGTGGATTTTGTAGATGGGTTTCCTGCATTTGCGGTTTGAATTAGCTATGCTTTTGGTTTAAGGATAATACTATATTTGTAGGAACCATCTGGTACTGGCATTAGCATACTTCTGTCAGTGAGAATACATCCTCTTGGTGAAGAGACTTGTTTCGGTCGTTCTGTTGAGGTTTTAAGTGAATTTTGAAGTAATGGCATCTTGGGACCAATGAATTCATATATACCTTTTGACAGTCTTTTTTCTGGACAACTTTCTTCAAATGTACTTCAATCCTTTAATGGCTTGCTGTAATGCCTTGATTATAGTATGCATATGAAAGTTATTTCTGTGTAATATTACTGCCATTGCATGTTCAATCTATTTTGTGCTTTAACCCACCTGTGGCATTTAGGACTTCTGTCTATTTCAGCATTATAAGCAGGGTGGAAGTAATATCTGAGCAGCTGCCGGGATTAAAGATGCATTATTTCTATGGTATGATAGGAATCAGCATTCAAGGAGACCTTTCTACCATTCGTGTAGTTTCAGTTGGCTATATAATAGTGGACAGGCCTTGTTATCAGATTTTCATTCTAAATGAGTATTCTGTATGGTGTTGATGCATCCCAGCTACTCTGTTCTTCTGGTGTGATCTAGGTTGAATTGACTGGTCTTGTTTTTTCAGCTTTCTACCTATTTCTATGCATGATTGACTAGCTTATCCCTATAAGTCGTGGTCTTCCATTTGTGGTGCTATCTTATAATTCTGAACACTCTAAATCCCACGACAAATTGGTTGGAATCCGAAATCATTGTTCAGTAATGGCCTAGCTGGTCTTAGTGTATCACATGATGTTTTTTTTTTTCATATTCTGTTCCAGAAACAAATTGGTTTCTAGAATTTTTTGGTTAATGTCACGGGGGTGTTCATAAAAATGTGCCAATTCATATATTTCTATGGCCAAAATAAGCAAAATTTTGTTGCAATTTTCTAAGGGCAGCCTTTGGCTCTTGTGCATCATTTTAATATATAGGATATTGCATCCTAAAGTATGTTTGCCCTAGGGCCAAACTATTTTTGAATTTGTCATTCCTGGTATTGAACGGTCGTCGCTGAGGTATTTGTGCATTGTGTTTTAATGGTAATAATTGCCTAGTTGAGGAACCTGTTGTGGGCAACATCCAAGAATGATGTCTATCTCGTGCAAAACTACTCCCTGATGCATTGGTCTGCACTGTCAAGAAAGGAGAAAGAAGTACTGAATGTGGCCAAACCTGTTGTTCCTACCCTGGTAAGAAGACGTTCTGGTTAAGTTTAAAGTTTGACATGTGCAATTGCTAATTTTATTGGAAATGGTTTTTGTACACAGAAACGCCCTGGTTTGTTGACACAATCACTTTCCAGGGTGCAAATCAGTTCCATGGTTGTCAAAGACAACATAATGGTCGCAGGAGGCTTTCAAGGAGAACTTATTTGCAAGGTTAGCCAGCTATAATAGCTGTGACTATTGTTTATGGTGTGTTTGTTTTTTGCAAGAAAAAAGGTAATTGATGGGTTGGTAGATAGTTTATCTCGTAACAGAGAAATGAATAGATTTCTACCAAAAAAAAAAAAAAGAGAAATGAGTAGTTTTTGGGAAATGACTATTATGGGTGTAACTTTGAGAAAATATTCTTATTTAAAAAATGATTCACTTTTAGATTTTAAAGATCAGTGGCCAGTGGGTTGTGCGTGAACAGTTGTTTTATCAAAGTTAAATTGAAGATGAAACAAACACCCATATTGCTCCTTTTCTGTAATACTGTTTCCAAATAATGGGTTTTCATTGTACAGTATCTGGATCACCCTGGAGCTGCTTTTTGTACGAAACTCACCACACATGAAAATGCCATTACCAATGCTGTAGATATCTACTGCAACCCCAGGTAAGAATTTGTCCACATTCAAACAGTTTCACTTCTCCTGATGCCTGGAAACTGAAATTGTTCTTGACTCCACCGTTTGCAGTGGCTCAATGAGGATTATGGCTGCAAACAATGATGCCCAAATCAGAGTATTTGATGCCGAGTGTTTTGCTTGCCTCAGTCAATTCGGGTTCGATTGGTCCGTAAATGTGAGTTAAAGCCCTTCCCACTTGAGAAACAAAGTCTTGGTTGGTTGGCATGAGTTTTTTGACAGTGGTTTGTTGAACTCAAAACATGTCTTCACAGAGCACTTCTGTTAGCCCTGATGGGAAGCTGGTAGCGGTTCTTGGAGATAGTGTTGACTGCTTGATCGCCGATGTACAGTCTGGTAAGGTCGCTGCTAACCTCGAAGGACACGTGGACTATTCATTTTCATCAGCGTGGCATCCGGATGGTAGAATTCTGGCCACTGGCAACCAAGACACCACATGCAGGCTATGGGATATTAGGAATCCTTCCAGGTCCTTGGCTGTGCTGAAAGGAAACATGGGGGCTATAAGAGGGCTAAAGTTCACATCCGATGGGCAGTTTCTGGGGATGCAAGAAGCCGCCGACTTTGTCCACGTGTTTGATGTGGAATCTGGTTATGTGAAGTGCCAGGAGATTGATCTCTTTGGGGAGATCGCCGGTATATCTTTTAGCCCTGATTCAGAGTCTCTGTTTGTCGGTATAGCAGATCGTACCTATGGAAGCCTGCTGGAGTTCAATAGGAAGCATTACAATCCCTACCTGGATTCTTTCTATTAGGTTCCAGATTTGCTTCGCAGATGTATATGTACATATATTTATCTCGAAAAGCTTGAATGCTCTGGGAAGTCGAGGGACTAGAGGAGGTAACTGTTTGTATATGGAGTGATTATTTTGAGCTGAGTAGAAATCGAATTGCAAAAGTTGCAGTTCTGAGCTCCAACAATGCAAAGCTGTTGCCTGGCGCTCTGTGGCTTTCGGGGTTGTATACCTACTGTTTATGTACTAGTGAACTATGTTCTTGCAGTTTAGTATTGGATCTATTAGCCATTAAAACAGCTGTTTTAACGGCTAATAGGTTCTTCTGTTACGTGGGATCAGTGCACCGTTTGTTCCATGAAGCAGAGGCAAATTTCAGAGTGTGCTTTTGGCATTGGCGGCTAGGCAGAAATGTTTAGTCAACGGACTAAGTTATTCATAGCCAGCAGACCGTTTCCATCCCAAATCCAGTGGTGCCAAAGAATCTGTTAATACTTAATAGCATTTTATGCAGATTAATTGACGTACTCGTTTTTGTTCTCTCTTTAACAAACGTACTTTAGTATGGTGGCAACTGGCAAGACAGCCATTTGTACAAACACGAGTACAAACATGACCGTGTTGGTCGACCATGTCATGTTTTTATCATTCAATCGACACTCAAGCAGTGTCCATTAAACCGTACCGTATCGGCGGTTCAACCACGAAATATCAATATTGGAGGCTAAACCGATATGCGGTATTTATCGGTATAACGATTGAACTACGGTTAAACCACGGTTTTACCATAAAATACCCTACCGCTGACTTTCCCGATACGGTCTCCGGTACGGTTTCATGGACCATGCACTCAAGCATGTTGGCAAGCAAACCATTTATACAAAATCTACAGAGTCAGTCTGTTGAGTAATATGTTCGTATGGGCTTCGGCCCAATTCCCCTAGCCATGGGTTTATGGGTGTATGTTGTTAGGGTTGGCCGAGACGCCGAGTAGTATAGTCTAGGTTTTGGGACTATATATATATATATATATATATGGGGAGTTCTACGGTACCTCGGGTGAAATCCGGGGTACCGCATACCTTAAATAAGAAAACCCTATCTAGAACTTGAATTGACTGATCTTTCGGACATTATACTATACTCTAACCCATAAAGATCAAAATCCAGGTATATATATATATATATATGGATACAACTCGTATGCTCCTGACTCATAGCATGCTACAAGTTTTTCCATCGTAGATCTAATCTAACGATTACTATTAATTACAACTAACTGATTTATTATTAGTAAATATAATTACTTATCACACCTCTCGATTAATTTTACGCCCTCTATAATCCCCCAACAATTTTTACCATTACATATTTATCATAATACCTTATATCTTTAACTCGTGCGCTTAAGACAATAGCTTTATACTTTCGGTGAAATTGAACGCATACTATTTAATACACATCATCATCAAATCCCATTCCTCCTCCCCCCCCCCCAAACTTCATCATCAACACCCAAAAACCCAGCGCCATGGAACAAAAATGATTCGATAAAATTATATGTGAAATTTATTAGACAACATATGCTTCTCTCTTTCTCTCCTCGTCCGCCATTTTCGAAATTGAAGATCATCAATCCACATTATAGTCATCAGTCCTTTGCAGAATTAGAGAAAGAGATCCCTATGACAGAGGATCGACGGCGGCGCGTTGACGGAACACACACCTGGAACTGATTTTCCCCTTGTTCCGAAGCTTTTATGGCTTCTCTCACCCTCGATCTCCCCTCCTCTCCCTTTAACCCTTTGAGAATTAGATGATGAATGAATGACTACCATCTTAGCATTTTGCCCATCATGTACTCCCTTTTTCCATTTTGTTTCAAGTTCCCTTCTTTTACCTTCAACTGCAGCTTATTTGACAATGAAAACAACCAAGGGTTGGGGGGTTAAAGTTCAGGCTTCAGATGTTCCTAAAATATGGGTTGAACTGTAAGAAGCCAATGAGATAGATCAACAGTTTGTTGAATACGGACAGAATTCTGGGTTGCAAAAACACAGGTAGGGCCGCAAATAAGTTTGCTCACTTTGTTGCTCATGCTAACTGGAATCCTTGAGATATTGATGAAGATAAAAGGAGCAAAGCAATAGAGTCTTACGATTATTAGGAAGTTGAAAAATCAATCGTTTCAAGGGATTATCAGAAAAGGACTTACGAGCCTATGGAATTCGATCGGGACAGCTTTAGGGTTTATGTGTTTGATGGTGATGGAAGAGGGATTATTCCAACGATTGTTGAGAAGATAGCAGGGAGGAAGGGATCTTGTAAATGTTGGGTGTTTAAGTGATGATTAGAAGAAATTAGGTATGATATTATAAAATTATATGAAAAATTATTTATGGGATCTAAAAAGCACGTCTATAAATATAAAGGGTTTAATTAGTCATCTTTAAATTGTAATTAATAAATCAATTAATTATTATTAATAATAGTCGTTAGATTAGATCAACGGTTTAGAGAAACCGGCGCATACTATGTGTCTGGAGCATACGAGTCTGACCCATATATATATATATATATATATATATATATATATATATAGCTGAATCTGTTGAAGCTAAGCTTAATAAGAGGATAAACTAGATTCGATCGTGGACTAGTCTCGTTCATATAGAACGAGGAAACCACGTAAATCTATGTGTCGATTTCTGTTTCTGTTTCTATATTTCCGTTTCGATTAACATGGTATCAGAGCCAATGACTTCTGAACAGATTACGGCTCGTCTCAACTCCAAGAATTATGCACTCTAGGAGTTTCATTTTCGAACATTGATTGAAGGGAAGTGACTTCTTGGTTGTGGCTCGATGGGACTGCTGCTCGGCCTTCTTCCCCACCCGTAACAGTCGACCAAGTTCATCAATGGACATTGAATGATGCCAAGGTTTGTACGATTCTCCTCAATTCTGTTGATGCCACTATCATCCTCGTCTTCGCATGCTTCCCACCGTGGCAACCATGTGCAAATACCTGGCCGACACGTACAGGACGATCATTGCTTCTCGCCAATACGAAATTGAGGTAGAGTTTTCCTCTCTTTATCAAGGCAGCATGGATGTGACCTGATACTATAACGCCACTCGTAATCTATGGGCTGGGCAATATCTTGTTATGGCCTCTCTTCTCACTACTACAGGTTCGGCGGAGGTTCCCTCCGACAGGGAGAAGATACGTCTTATGCGATTTTTGATTCGGCTCAATCACGACTTTGAGCCAATACGTGCCTCCTTGCTCAATTGTCATAACCTGAAGATTGAAGGGGTACTGAGCTCGTTGATCCAGGAGGAAATGAGGTTACGTACACAGGTTGTGCTCGATATCCGACCCGGTACAGGCGATGGGGCGGCTATCTTCAGCGCCACGCACAACTCGTCGCTTCCGCCTTCTTCCACAGCTGGTGGTGGTGGCGGAAATTGCTTTTCTGGTTCGCGGGAATAGGATGACCAGCTGGGTGATTCGGCTTCTGCAGCATATTGGGCCTCTTTTTAAGCATCGTGTTTCCAACTATGATGTCGAGTGTTTTCATTGTCACGAAAAAGGCCACACGAAGAAGAATATTGCCGCAAAAGAAACATTTGCCACTATTGCAAAAAGACTGGACATATAATCTCTACTTGTCTAGGTTTGGAGGGTCGATTCCGAGAAGACGAGGGTCGCGGCGAGGCTCCTCTACTACTCGAACTGCATATGCCACGCAGCCCATTGGCGATAATTCTGGTTTGGAGGGTGTTCTAGTGACTCCGGCAACTCTCGATCAAATGGTCAACAAGGCTATGTCCACCGCTTTTGCCAGTCTTTAGGTTTCTGGTAAGTTCCCTCACTAGATACTTGGTTCTGCTTGTTTTAACCATATGACTGGTGATGTTTCTGCTCTTAAGCAACTACACCCTGTAACTGATAGTATCTCTTAAGTCTCCAATGGCGAGAAGCTAAGTGTAACTGGCATGGGGATAATTCGTAATTCTGATATTGTTTTACCTTTTACGTATCATGTGTCGAAGTTGGTTCCAAGCTTAATTTCTGTAGGCCAACATACTGACCAGGGATATCGTGTTACCTTTGCACCTTCTGGTTGTGCTATCCAGGATTCAAAGATCGGGAGGGAGATTGGTAGGGGTAGCAAGACGGGGTGTCTCTTTGTGCTCGACCAGCTATGTCCCCCATCATCATCATCATCGGCATCGTCACCTCACACCTTCGTTCCTACTGTCTTTTCGAGTCTACCAGACAAAACTTTTCAATTATGGCATGCTCGGTTAGGACATCCAAACTCTAGTAGACTTATGACAATGATTAAACAACAGTTATTAGGGACTAACACCCATGGTCAGTGTTCGTCGAATTTCTCATGTACTAGTTGCATTGAGGTTACTCTTGCCTTGTTGCTCTCTTCATGTGTTCAATCTTCTTGTTGGCCTAAGACTGTTGCTACTGCTGTGCGTCTTATCAATTATCAAATTACACCTGTCCTTGACCAAACTAGCCCACATTTCCGCCTGTTTTCCAAACCACCACCATATTTTTGCCTTCGTGTCTTTGGGTGTGTCTATTTTGTTCTTCTTCCTCGGTCTTAACGCACTAAGCTCACTTCCAAAACTATCCGTTGTTGTTTCCTTGGCTACAGTGACATTCATAAATGCTATCTCTGTTATGATCCTACTTCTCGTTGTGTCGAGTTGCTTGTCATGTTCTGTTTCTTGAGAACTTAATGTACATCTTGATGAAGCATCTTACAAGCTAAGGAGACCATGATCGAGCATCCTCAACCTACCCAAGAAGAGAAGGATAATCAACCTATCGAAGAACCTCAAGAAAAAGATCATAAGGAGACCAACAAAATTGATGATAAAGATGATGTTCTTTCAACTTATGAAGAAGGAGGAGAGAAGATACAACCCCTAGGAGTAGCAATGAAAGAAGAAGGATGCAATATTGAAGAACTTACACTAGTAAAAAAAAAAGGAGTCGTGGGAAGATGTTGAAGGCTTCACACCACTTGAAGGATTTGAACACTTCCTATGCCTTCTTCAATCTCATCAAGGAGTGTTCCACCTACCAAGGCATCCACCATTGGAAATATCCAGGAGGAGGAGTTCAAGTATGATGGCCCCTATTCACCTCTTATTCAAAGTTCAATAAAACCCTTGGAATCAAGCATTGAAGAAGAGAGTTTGGAGGATAATTCAAGCAAGGATGATCGACCTCAAATGAATAAATAAGGAGAGGAGCCACTAGAGGAGAAACCATCTCAACCTATCAAACTAAAGGAGGAGCTTCAAGATGAGTCACCTATGAGAAATGTTGACGACCATACCAACATGGAATCCAACATAGGAGAGGAGCAAGATGCCCCCACCATCCAAGAGATCGTGTAGGAGTTCATAAATAAAATATCATATAGGGAATGCGTTAGCTTGGTTTCATTTTTTTAAGTAGCCACCATGGCTACCTCCTTTTTGTCCATTCAGATTAAGTAGATCCAATCTGAGGGCCCACTTTGCTCAAGGGTTTTTTCGGAAGGGACCCACACGATCAGCTCCTTTCTTACTGGTCCCGAAATCAAAGCAAGATTTCCCTTGCCCCACGCTTCCTTTCTTTATTCATTGTCTTTCCTTATCAACGCATTCTCTCTCCCAAAACCCCTTTTTCCTTTTGCAGAGAGCAGAACCTTCTTTGGCGGCAGACCTTAGAGATTCCCGGCGTCGCACTCTCTCCGTCGCCGCGTTCTTTTCCTGGCGCCACCGTCTCTCTTCGGCGCCGCAATCTCTCACCGTCGCCGCCGCGTTCTCTCCCTGCCGCCGCGTTCTCTCTCTCTCCGGCGTTAGCTTGGTCTCACCGTCGACGCGTTCTCTCCCTGGCGCCGTGGTCTCTCTACGGCGCCGCATTCAATCTCCGTCGCCGCCGTCGTTCCTTTCTGGCTAGGTTTCCCGGAGACTGGTTCTTTATTAGTTGGTGGGTAAACGAGCTTTTTCGGCGTCTC